TGACGGTCGGAATGAGGACAAACCATATGGCTTTCTTTGTCATCGAAGAGAAGCCAACTTATTCTGCCATTCTCGGGAGGGATTAGATCCATACTACCCAGTGCATCCATTCGACTTTGCACCAAAAAGTTATATTTTGGAACAGAGACCTAGTCGAGACAGTGAAGGTCGAGGCTGATCCAGCTATGGAGGTGCATTCCGCAGAGGCCATTTATTATTCCCCCGATGTATACCCGATGTCCATGATGCTGAAGGATGATGGAATGTGAAAAAAATGTAATCTAGCCATAAAAGGGTTCAAAATATAAGTCGAGGCTGACGCACGGCCTAATAATTCAAGTATTTATTATGTCTTGACATCCTGATCCTATAGGATTTGGAGGCGAGAGTAGGCAGGTCCGGTTGTCCATTTATACAGGCCAGAAATTATGCCGCTCGACCTCTTGATGGGCAAGTGGGGACATTCATTCACCGATTCGAAGAGCTGCTCCACCTTTCAAAGCGCAGGATCCATAGAAGGAGGTAACCCTGGGGGATAAGACAACCCCTCGGATGACACTGGTCAGCACCTTGCTGGATGTCAAGAAGAATGAGCAAATGATTGCTTTGATCCGAGAATTGAAGAATTGTTTCACATGGGATTACTATGAGATTCCAGGGCTATCAAGAAGTTTAGTGGAGTATAGATTACCTACTAAAGCTTCATTTCGGTCGCACAAACAGCCCCGTAGGTGCTTCAACCCAGAATTGTTGCCAAAAATGAAGGGGGAGGTCGAAAAACTCCTCAAAGCTAACTTTATTCGAACATGCAGGTACCCAGAGTGTATTTCTAACATCATTCCAATGTGAAGAAGAATGGAAAGATCTAGATCTCCATTGACTTCCGGAATCTCAATTTGGCGATGTCAAAAGATGAATACGTGTTGCCCATTGCTGAGTTGCTCGTGGACTCTACGGCAGGATACAAGATCCTTTCTTTTATGGAAGGCTACATTGGCTATAATCAAATATATTTGTCCGAGGAGGACTCCATAAAACATCTTTCCATTGTCCTGGAGCAATTGGAATCTTCGAGTGGATAGTAATGCCTTTCGGCCTCAAGAATGCCAACGTCTTCGAGTAACTTGCATAGCGAAATTGTGAAACGTTCAACGTAAACACATCTTTACAACGTAGTTGTCTCGTGGTTATAGCAGTAGTGTGTGTTCGTGCACAAATCAATGAATGATAAGTGCATAAAGGAAAAACAATACACCAAGTTTGTTTACCAAGTTGGGTTTTCCAACCTACGTCTGGGGGGATTCCAATCAAGGAGTCTTAACTAAACCAAACACTTGGTTTACACCATATAAGATACCAAACCGAACTACTCAATCTATTTTCTACCCAAGTTCCATTTAGTTTATACAAACTCTCATTGACTGACTGTTACTACACCGCAACAATTCCAGCAGGCCAGCGACCAAACTAAGAATAAGGTTGTTTTCCAGATGAAGATCTTCTTTGGCTTCGACTCCAAGAATCCTTTTTCTCGTCCTCAATCTTCCATTGATGAGTTCTCAACATTCTAACAAGCAGAGAGAATACTGATTCGAAGTGTTATGTGTCTCACATCATATACAGACAAAAACAACACACAAAATACAAACACTGACACAAGAGACAAAGTTGATTGTGTGTCAACTTTGGGACAGTGTATCAGGGCAATAAATGTCATACAGTACAAGAGGACAATACATACAGTCTCTCCTGCATTTCCTCTGTCCAACGTACATACATTTGTCCTATTCCATCGAGTGTGGGACATGCAGGATACATCCAAAACCAACATCTCGATCAACTCTGTGTAGTTGGCAGATTTTGGAAAATAGTGTCGACCGAAAACTGCAACAACATCCTGCACACTTGCTCATATGCCAAAACTAAAAATAAAAAGGGTTTGGCATTTTTTAATATGTCAATAATCTCCCCCTTTTTAGCATATGCAGCAAGGCATAATAAGTAGAAAACACACACTATTCACACATCACACCACAATTGCAATCCAATTCAGAGTTATTACAAGCCATCAATTTGAACAAGCCACAGTTGGCTTTAGCATTCAAATGTTGTAACATAGACAAAGATCGGCAGTTTATGAAAAAATATGCAGAAAACATAAACAACAAATAGCATATGGTAACTAGCAATACCAGCTCCCCCTCAACAGCACACACTCTCCCTGGCTTGTTGCATTCTCCCTCTTGCATTACAGCAAAGGCCAAAAATAGGTGGTCAAGGGTCGGCTTCCTCTGTGCTATCACCATCTTCATCATCATCATCATCAGTGTCCTCATCATCTACTCCAGGGTTGCGAGGCAGCAGCCTCAGGGCTTGTGCCACCTTTCTTTTCTGAGCAATGAGAGCAGTAGACAAAGTGGATTGATCCCTTATGACTTCAATCAATAGCTCCTTACACTTCTTCATTCGGGCATCGGCATCTAATGGGGCACCAAGGAGAAATTCATTGTGGAGCTTTTTTAGGTTGGATTGGGCAATAAACAATCGAATAGGAAACACCTCCTTATCCAATTCTGGATGAATTCCCTTGGAACTCAAGAACAAATAAATTAAACTGGGATAAGGTAATCGTGTCCACTCCACTTTTGAATCCGAACAAAAGTCAATCATCTTCCTGATTACCAAATACCCAAAATTAATTAGCTCAAAATATTTATCAATAGAGAATATGAGAGTACCCATATCCGTGATGACACTCGTATTGTTGACGGTTGGTAAATTGTTGCATCCATAAAGTCGAAAAAGACATTGAGACTTCATCATCAGCATTGTTTCAGTCACTCCAAAGCGTCCAAATTTCGAAGCGTTGCCAGCAGATATGGTTCTAGCAACCTTCTTTGTTGATTCATCAATCTGTTCAGACGGGAACGTGTTTTCATCATTCGCCGGAAATTGTAACAACTCATTGATCATTGCAGGACTAAGTTCCAAAATTTTGTCACGCATATATATTTTAAGATACCAAAGAGAGTTGGGATCGAGTAGCTTGCCACTCAAATTGGCATAAAACTCCTTGGCAAGACGAGGACAATAACGCTCCAATCCCATTGCCCAAAACAGCAAATGTTTCTCCTCAAGGAACACATGAAATCCGACATCGGTATAAGCTTTTCAAATAAATAGTAGATTGAACAAAATACATAGTTGAAGTACAAAATATTATTATAAAATTTGAGGGACAAAAATAATAATATACAAACGGGTACAAAAATATATACACACTATCATATTACACCATTGAGATTCTCATAATATACACCTTCAAAGTTTATTAAAAAAAAACAGATACATCTAAATGTGTATCATATTATGATCACCACTGCCACTGCTACTAGCATCATTTTTATACAAATATATTTATTGAACCTTGACATCTTCGGGTGTCTTTTCTTAATAGTAGCTAGTGGGAAAATTCGAATATTTATATGTTAATTATAATAGTATTGAAAAAATAATTTAATTAATATGCGTTTTGATATTCTTTTATTGTATACATATAGAACTTTAAAGATGAATTTTTTTATTTTTCGAACATAATTTTCACAATTTGTTTTAATAACTTCAAAGACAAAAGAAATTGTTATCTATATATTTGCACTTCATCACCAAAATCTATGATGCAATATATGTGTATATGTATAAGACAATATTAATATAGTATAAATGTATGGATTTATATATATATATAGGTAAACGTGCAAGGGTGTACGGTAGAATTGATGTATATTTATAAAAATATTATACCGCCACCGCCACTATTCAGTTCTAAGTATCCAATTTATATTTTTGCATATTAATCTTTAAATATTAATTATTATATCAAAACATAGTACAAATTAAAAAAAAATTACAAAAATATTTCTATCAGTGTCTTGTAATACTAATAGAATAACATTTGTAAAAAAAATTATATAAATATAAAGATATTTTTAATGTTAAGTACAATAACGCAAAATATAAATGTAATCCTTAAAAGTGGTGAAAAACATAGATATAACAAGGGTATACATATGTATATGCTACACAGAGGAAGAGTGCGAGTGCGAGTGCGAGGGCGGCAGTAAAATCAATATAATCTCATATTTCACCATATTAAGGCATTTTATAGGGATATTAAAAGATGATTACACATTAAATTAAATGAATAACTCGGAAAAACATATAAATGACACATACAAATAAATATGGTGAGCCATAACACTATATTATTATTATTATTATTATTATTATTATTATTATTATTATTATGCTAAATTGTACAAAATTCACACGTGGTTTCACGAAATTGCGCAAAATATTTATACTTTTAAAATTGCATCAAACTGTCTCATGGTTTCATAAAATTTGCGTCTAACCTCTTCGGCGGTCCTTATTTAACGGTAATTGACCTTAATGCGCTCAAACTGCGAATAAATTTTAGAATATCAATTTCTAAACCCCTAAAATTAATTTTGAGTATATTTACTATTTTTTGAGGCTAAATATAAGAAAAATAAATATATTTGTAATTCTAGAAGTTTAGAAATTGAAATTTTAAAATTTATTCGCAGTTTGGGCGCATTTAAGTCAAATACTTTCAAATAAAGATCGTTGAGGGGGTTAGACGTAGAGTTTATGAAACCACGAGAGAGTTTAACGCAGTTTTAAAATTACAGAGAATTTTGCACAATTTCGTAAAACCACAGATGAATTTTGTGCAATTTAGCCTTATTATTATTTTTTCTTATTTATTTTTAAAAGAAAATAATTTGTAAACTATCCCCTCAATAATTGTATCCTATATACTCTATATAATAAACTAAGTAACAATACAAAAACAAGTATATAATTAAGATATCACTTTCTACATGACGACTCCACCTATGCCTACATCAAATTAAATATATTATTATCAAAAGTATCTCAATTATTCTCATGTTTGTAGCATCCAAAGTTAGTATATATATATATATATATCTATCTTTGTACCTAAAATTCAATAATTTAGTTATAAGAAAAAAATAAAATAAAATAAAATATTATTGAATGGGTGCAGAAAACAAGCTGTTTTCTTATTTACAAGTTTCTTCTCACAACACCTCTGAAGATTGTTGGGTCATCATCAATGGCAAGGTACTTTTCTTTTATTTATTTTAAATAAATCAACATGTTTTCTTGAATTCTATTTTCGTGATTTAATTTCTTCAAGTATCAAAAAATAAAATAAAATATAGTTGAGTTCAGATCTAGGAAAAAATAATAAGCAAAGAGGTTTCTGTGGCTTTTCATTTCAGAAAACTTTCGATGTGTTCCTTTTTGGTATTTTGTAGATATATTTTAATTTTATTGTTAAACTTTATATAGGTGAAGTAGTCACTAAATGTAATATTCTATCTTTAAAAATAAATATATTTTTATTGAAAATTATTATAATTAAAGTGTTACAAAAAAACTAAAAGAATAGAGCTTTATCTTCAACTTATGTTTGAATGTTAATGTATTTATCAATTTTGTATTGATTTTTTTTTTTTTTTTTTTTTTTTTTTTTTTTTTTTGGTGTTATTACAGGGATATTTATGTATTGAATGATCCTACACTTTGATTTTTTATTTTTTTTATTTTGCTTTAATTAATAACTCATTATATATATATACTTCTATCTGTCTTTCGTTTGTCCCAAAACAAGGTTACAATTTTCTAATTTAGTAATTGTGTATTACATACCAAATATAATAAATATTCTTTCAACTAAGAGTACATTACACAAATGCAATTAATTTTATATTACACAATACTAACAGAGGAGTATTTTCATTTTTTTCACTACAACTCAGTGTAATACTAATATTCAAAAATCTACGTGAAAAAAAATAAACTGTAACCTTGCAACGAGACGGATAGAGTATATATATATATTGGAAGCAAATAAGACGAATGGAATCAAGTTAAGATGGTTCAAAATTCGGAGAAAATGAGTAATAATTGAGTATATATATAAATATATGTCAAAAATTGCAAATTTTCATTAGCAAGGAGGAGTTTGGAGCTTAGCATAAAAAATGAATTCAAAGGTGAATAGATATAAAATTGTTTTATTCTGCCAATGTATGAGTTACGTCAAAAATAATATTTTTATCCGTCAGCTTTTAAGGGTCACATTTACCTTTTACGTCATTATACCTCACGATAAAAGTATCTTTATATTTTTATAATTTTTGTACGAATGTTCTTATAAGACACCAATTGAAGTATTTTTGCAGTTTTTTCTTAATTTGTACTACGTTTTGATATAATAATAAATATTTAAAGATCAATTCTCAAAAAATAAATGTGATCCTTGAAGCCGGACATAGATAATAATATTTAGTTGGTTGGATCCATGCCCTTTTTATTTTTTTATTTTTATTTTTATCATAATTGTGTGTTTGATTATGCAGGTTTATAATGTAACAAATTACTTAAATGAGCATCCAGGAGGAGACGAGGTCATATTAGGACAAGCAGGTGTTTAACTTTTATAATTTTTAATAAAAATATATTATTTTATAAAAATTTTACACCAAATTACTTATTAAACTAAAATTCAAATTCAAAACAATAAATTAAATAAACATATTTAATTCAAATTTTTTACATACTCCCTCCGTCCCAATACCATTTTGTCAGTCCTTATAAAAAATAGTCTCATTTCCATAAATACTCGTATCAAAGTAAAAAAAATCTTTTATTCGTATTTTTTACCGACTATCAATATAATATAAATATTTTTTAAATTTCGTGTCCAACCCAAATAAAACCATAGTTTTGGGACAGAGAATATAATATTTCCAACTAAACTATATTTATAAAATTTGCATCAAATATTCTTCTCGCATACGACTGCGGTTAAAATTAAAATGCTTCATTTTCAAAATAATAATTATTCAATTAAGTTATTTTTCTCAAGTATCAGAATTAACGACTCGAACATTTTATCGTATAGGCAAAGATGCTAGTGAGGAGTTCGAAGATGTCGGCCATGGTAGTGCCGCAAGGCTAATGTTGGATGAATTCTACGTTGGCGAGGTCGATCCAACTACAAAAATGTCCGTAGACGACATTAGTGTTCGTCTAGATCCCATTAAAGATGGGAAGGAAAAGCTCGGATCGAAAAATAATAAACTTGTGTACATTTTGCTGGTCCTAGCAATCATAGGATTCGGTTTGGGGGTTCAATTGTTTGTATCGCCAACTTAAAAATATGGATGACATCGAAGAAGTTCGTAATAATCTCGCAAGAACTCGATGAGGAAGAAGAAAAAAAAATATTCGATATAATTTCATGAATTTGTATTTTATTTTTGTTGTAAACTCATATGCATCATTAGCGAAAATTCAATGTTGAATAATTTGTACCGTGACAATTTCTTTTTCGATGGAAAATATTGTGAAAATAATATTTTAATATAAAAATAAATATATTAAAAAAATAAAAAATAAAAAATAGTAAAAAAATACAAAAAAAATTAATTATTATTGAAGTAAACATAATATATAAACTATATACTATAAATTAAAAAATTAAAATTAAAATTTTTTTTATAATTTTGTCTAATAATTATTTAATTTTAAATTTTAATTTATATGAACATATTTGTCATTTAAAAAAAATAAAAAATGTAATAATCATCCAAAGCATCTCATAACAACAATTTTACCAACAACCCCTCACATAACAAAAATTTATGAATCAAACAATCCTTCAAAATAGACTTTTGTAGTAGAAGTATGTAAAAAAATTTACAATTTTGTATTTTATGTATAAAAAAGTAATATTTTTTAATGTGAAAAACAAAAATATAAAATAAATATTTTTAGCTAGACGGAGAATTTACTATAACAAACGATAACATGATTAGGGTGTTTCATATAATTTTTGGTCGTGTTCTTTTGTGAATTTTTGCACACGTTTTTACTATTGGGATTTTTTTTTTCCTAAAAATATCACATAAAACCATTATTTTTTTTATACTCCCTCTGTCTCACATTTACCTTTTGCACACTAGATGAAGTATTAATATTCAAATATCAATTTTTGCAATTTTTTTAAATTGATATTATATTTTGATATAATAATATTCAAATATCAATTTTTGCAATTTTTTTTTAAATTTGTAATGTATTTTGATATAATAACTAATATTCAAATATCCAACGGAGGTAATATTATACTTCAAATTTATTTATATCAAATCAAACAACTGTTTAAATTCAACTTTTTACAATTAAAAATCGAAACCCAAAAATTAAAACCCACAAACAAACACACCCTTTAATTTATTTTTTTTTTTGGCAAAATTTATTAAATCCAATTCAACAAATAACTGAAGCTATAGAAAGTAGAAGCTGTACATAACATTCGAACGCAAGTACGCAACAATAGAGCGAGCATTAAGGATACCATAAAACATTACAATGTAAGTACCAAGAAAAGCTGTAGTAACCACAACTGTTAAGCCCCGTCGCCATCGCTGCCGTCGCCGCTGCGGCGACGATCTAGGAAACGGAAACGGTTGGGCGGGAAGGTTGGGGAAGCAGTAGCATCTTCGAAATCCTGGGAGTCGCTGTCCACAGTATTGACAGACAATGATCCGATCTCATGTTCATCCTCAAACGCATCGTTCGACAAGTTGGAGCTCGAGAGAATCACCCCGCTGTCTGAATCATCATCCGAACGTCCGGCTCTGAGGCTCAGAATTATATTGCGGAAGACAGGCGCGGGGACAACCTCAAACCTGTGATCTTGAGTGTGCTGCTGGTTGAATCTGCCGGGCAGCTTCGAAGAACTGTTGTAGCAATTCTCGCAGAGGTCGAACCCTATTTTCTCGACACAATCTTTGCATCTGTGCCGCACCCCCACAATCGGACACATCTGCACAAAATTAAATCATCAAGACTTGAACAATAACTGAAATGAGATTTTTAACGTTCAAGAACATAAAATGGCGAGGAGACGTATTTTAGGAATAAGATATTACCCCACAGTAATCACAACCGACTCCAGGATGAAATTTCAGGCCAGGATCAGAGAATAAGGACGGGGTAATGTTCGTAGGCGCTGAAAAAGATGTAGCAGCCTGATCCGGTTTTCCTCTTGGACCTGGTGCCGACATTGTAACAGTCACAGATCAGAACCTTAAATTAATAACAATGAAATACTCTTTCCGTCCACAAACTAACGTCCTACTTTCCAATTTGAAATGTCAAACAACTATTATTCTCTTTCTATTTTTATACACGTAATTTACCTTTTTGCCCAAACTTTATTTACCCTTTTCTTTATCTATACACAAAATAAAAGACAAATTAGTCATTTCATAACAAAAACCTTAATTACCTAAAAATACGTGTAAATATCAAATAAAACATTAGAAAGATGCACAATTGAACGAGATCTGTTGAAGGAAAACAAAGTCCAAGTACAAAAGAAAAGAGTGGAAAATTTGCAAAATGGTAAAAACCTAGAATAGTTTTTCTATAAATGTTAAGGTTCGGATAGAGCAAAGGTTGCTATTTAGAATTTTTACCTTCTTCTCTATAGTGCCAACACAACGTTTAAACGATGATTTCAGTAATAAAGGATAAATGTCTAAGTGAAAAGGAAATCTGCAAAATGGTAAAAAACTACTACTATCATTTAATATTTTGCGGAAAGTTTTCCCATATCCTAAAAAATATAAGGATGAAATAGTGCAAAGGTTGCTATTTAGAATTTTTACCATCTTTTCCTAGGGTACCATTTCAAAAACGATGATTTCAGTTATAAAGGATATGTCTGAGTGAAAAGGCAAACAAAGTGAATCTAAAACAAAATCCTAGATGAGATGAAACGGGTGATCGTTACATATGTTCGGTAAGAATGAAGCTCACAAGATCACAGCACAGTCAGCAGGGACTGGTTTGTGTAAGGCAATGTGCTAAACTGCAGATGGAGCTGCGGCATTATTTTTATGTTAAATGTTCAGATCTTAGACATGTTAATTTTATAACATAGCTTCAGTAAAACTTGAATCGGGTTAGAAAAGGATTCATTAGATCAGCTAGTAGTCTCTACTGAAAGAAGCAAGACAGAGAAAGAGCAGCAAACCTTGAGAAGAATCGCCGTTCTGAAAGTTTGATAGTGATTGTTTTCTTGTAGAATATTCTTCAGGAAAGTACTTCTCCAAGAAGTGAGCTAGAACTAGGCACACATTCGGGAACCCATTTGGATGTGCACTTTGACATTTCGGGCATTTGCACACGCTGTCATGTGAGCTAATGCATACTTCACAAAAAACTGCAAGAGCAGATAAAGAAATGAAAATGGATACTAAACCACTTTGAATATACAGGGTATGTTCGAAATGACTTACCATGGCCACAGTTTAGTACTACAGGACGACATAATAGCTGCTTGCAAACAGCACACTGTAAGTGAGTCAAAAGGTCCGGTTTGCTATGCTCAATCACGCAATTTGCCTCTTGAGAACTTGATGTTGATGGGGTATTTGTGATATTGCCATTATTATGAGAAGTTCTTTTTGTAGAGTCTTGAACGAATGAATGATCCCCTCCACATGTGGCAGTAGATTTGTTGGAATCAGCTTCAAGCAGTTTAGAAGATTGTTGAGTGTCGAGTACTTCACTATACTGATAATCAGTTAATTTATCATCAAACTGTGGAGATGTGTGTCCATACGATTTTTCTTCCTCTGAAATTTACAAAAATAAATAAATAATATATACATATATAAGCATTTGATTAGTGAATAACATTTCAAGATACGAGCACACAATAAAAGTTCCAGTTATCATGGTTACTGCAGTATGTTTTGATATGTACTGAGTTTCTATGAAGCAAGAATGTATGTTTATTGGGAGAAAATAAGTACAGTGTGGATCCTAGAAGATCAAAACTCCAATTTCATTATTAGTATAACAGAACAAGATTCAAGAATTGATAGAGAACAAGAAGTAAATGGGCAAGGGCTGCAAGAAGACAATGAGCTGGTCTACAAGGAGGAGGACCCCGTCGTTTTCTGGTGTACCGCCGACCCCAACAAACTTAATTTAGGAGCTAAATCATCCTGAAGCCTTAATTGCTTTCTTTATTACCCTTAGAGAGATTTAGGGCTTTAAATAAGTCTAAGGAATCAATAAGCATCGATGAGGAGATAATTAGGGGATTGAGATAAGAATTGAGCCATAGGCCGGAATAAAGTAGTAATTTCAGATTTCTTAAAAAATTAATCTACCAAGAATTGAGTGACAAGAGCATGACGCAATAAGCATCAATGCATAGTGCAAATAAGAAATTAGAACAGCTTAAATTACAAGCAAATTTTAAGCACCAAATGTAATTACATGATGGGTAATATCATGATTATTATACATAAAAAGATCCAACAATCACATGATAGCAAAGTCAAATAACCTTCGTCCCATGGCAACTTCATGGATTTGAAGCCATAACAGTTGGTCACAGTACTTAGTAAGAGAGAGTACACAGGCTACAATAGCTCTTCTGCTAGGAAATGAAATAAGTCATCATTTACAATTAATTCTCACATTTTGTCGATATTTCACAACATAACAAACAATCACATGACAAAACTTCATCAAGCTACTCGACACATGTCATATACTTCATCACCTAAGGACATTAAAATTTCAAAAAAAAAAAAAAAAAAAAAAAAAAAAGAAAGAAAGAAAAATCAGAAAAAAGCATTCCTTCTAAACCGGGAGCACAGGTCTGCTAATAGTGGCATGCAAAAAAGCACCAAACAAAAGAAAAATCTAATTTAATATTATGCAAAAAAATATACAAAAGAACTAAGATCCTTCAACTACAGAATGTGAGAAATGTAAATGAAGTTTGAGCATAAAATATGCTCTCGATTGCATGATCCAGATTCGATGGGCAGAGGCAATTAAATGATTTAGAATCTCTATTTCACTGTTGTCTATTTAAATAGTTCGATTACGTCCATGTTATACTCTTTGCAACAAATTTTTGTTAAAATCTTGTCCCTTTTATTGCCCCAGACTTGTGTTCGTAAGCTCTCATTAATTAACATCATTATTTTATATCAGTGTTTCCTTCTGTGAGGATATTTCACATCAACAAAGCTATACCCTAATCCACCAGGACTCATCAGAGACTTGCCTCTTTTACACAAGTAGTACAGCCTCCACCTTACTTCAATTTTCAAAACTTCTGCCAGTTTTCAGCCTGTCATCTAAATTTATTCACCATGGATGCAACAAAACTAGTGATCAACAAATTTCGCTTTGCAAACAAACAAATCCAACACAACAGAAGAATTTGATATTAAGATTTAGTACAATATTAGAATTCAAGTGATAACATACCTGAAACTTGATTCTCTCTACTTTTGTAGGATGATGGATATAACATCAAAAGCAAGAAATGCAACAAATCACAGATTCTAGGAAAATGGTTGTATGGCTGGCGACACACAGGACAATAAGACACCTGTGTCGTGTCCATGGCTTTAAATACACACCAAAAGCATGAGATGTGGCCACAAGCTACAAACATCGCACAAAATGGATCAAATTAAAAAATTTCAGCAGAAAACCTCGCAGTTAAACATAATTCCGTATCATTACCCAACACCACAGGCTTGTACAAGATATCCCTGCAAAATGCAACGATAAAAGGAAGATTTAATTATCAAAACAAAAGGAAACATCAATGAAAAGCAATAGCATACCAATAGAACTTCCAATTGCCATCGATTCTATCGATACAGAAACTCAATTAACAAAAAATTCATTAATTCTATCGAAGATTCACAAAGATTCCTAAACCTCGACCCCAAATTGAAACTCCACTGCATTCATATCAACAGTGGGAAAATGAAAACACACTTACAGGCACACACAGCACTGAAATTCCTCCGGGAACTCATCATCATCTTCCATTTGACAGCAATCTTTCCGTGCTTGATTATCCATGATCAAAACCCTAATGAATGTGAAGTTGTGCACCGTTTACCAGTCAATGAATTCAGTAAAGATTTAGTTTTTACGCGTAGTTATCACGTCAGTTGGCCTATTTTCGGACCACTTTATAATGATATATAATGGGCCGAAAGGCCCGCTATTCTTGTTCTAAAGTACTTTCTCGGTCCGGTTGTCCCAAAAAATTAGAGAAATATAATTAGTAAATAATTAAAAATATATTAGAATAAATAATTATTGTATAATAAAAATAATTATAAATTAATATTAAAATAACTAATTAATATAATTAAAATTAAAATAATTATATATTAAATTTTTTAAAATAAAATTAAAATGTATAATTTTTTTTAAAAAAAAAATGACAAAATATATGGGACGGACGGAAAAAAAATGTGTATATGAGAAGTGGAACGGAGGGAATATTATTTTATAGTGAAATTTATAAACGAAATAATTATTGTACATGATACTTTATAGTCTCTCCGGCCATCAAATGTATTTTTTTTTACCATAAAATTTAAAATATTATTTTTTTCTAAAATAAAATATATTCATATGAATTGGATACGAATGTTAATAAATATAATAGAATATTCATTAATTGTGATATAAAGCAAAAGTATTTTAAAAAATATATCAATGAATTAATATGATGAAAAAAAAAGTTAGACATACTAATAGTACAATATTGAAGGATATAAATAAAAAAATGTACAAAAGTTATTTTTATTAATGAAAAATACATATTTTTGTGGGAAAGAAAAAAATAAACAAACAAACAAACATATACCGAGGGGATAAACGAAGTAGTATTTTATAAGGAATAGTATTGATAGAAATACAAAGAGACTTTTTATTCCTGAATATATTTTTTTTTTCAATGGAAATTTATAATTAAAAGTGTTAAAATTATTAAATTTCAAATATCTCAAATTAGATTAGTCTTGTTAAATTTAATTAAATCATGTGATATGCTAAATTAAAAATAAATAAATAAATAACAAACAAACAAACGAAGTTGAAAGACTGATTGCTTTATTTGAAATTCTATGAATTTTTATTTGGTATAATATTTTATTTGTTATTAATAATCTAAGTAAAAAATTAGAATCTGAAATTCATGAGTATTAATATGGCAATAAAACAAATATAAGATATTTTATTATTTTTTAAAATTATTTTTGCATGTTACAAAAAGATTTCTTTTTAATATGAATATCGAATATTATGTGGTTTATGTGAAGTAGTGCCTATGTGAAATGTCTCAATTACTCCACTATCCCCACTACTTTACTTCATTACTAAATATTAATTGACCTATGTCCACTACTCTCCGCAACTGTTGGTTACTTCTTTGATAGAATGAAGTAATTGAGACATGAACTTTAGACTTTTTTGGTCCCCTAAGAATCACTATATAAAGTCTTCTACACCATCTAAAAAATATAGTGCAAGTGCTTAGAAAAATCAAGAAAGATTGCTTTCGAGTTTGACACCAATTGCCGAAGGTATGTTATCGGGATTCATTTTAGTTTCGATTCTTGATTCTATTCCGCATTGAATCGATTATTTTGCTCACATTTCCAACTAAACATCGTATTTTTAGAAGAATATATATATATATGTGTGTGTTACTTCCTAATTTTCACGCCCAATGAAAAGCAGCGGCCCAACTCATGAAGAAGCTTAGTCCAGCCAGGAAACCCACCACAAATGAGAGTTGGATTACTCAACGCCCACTCCGGATGAAGACAAATCTAATTTGGATAAGAAAATATTGAAAGGAGTTGGGAAGTTGAGAAAGAAGCGGGATTGAATAATAAGAAGAATGAGAAGTTGATTCCTAAAATCACAGAGGAGTGGAGAGAATTGAAAAATAAAATAAATTCATAAGTATTTAAAGGGGGCAAAGGATTTAGAGAGAAGATATCTGTATCAACAAGTGCAACAATAATTCATTATTTTTCTTGCTCCAACATTTATTTTTTTCTTTTTTTTCTTTTTGCTCTAGCATAATTCATCCTAGTTTGTCTAATTAATCATTTTCCTTTCTTTTGTTACTAAATTCTTGGTGCGCTCAAGTATTCAATTCATTTCAATTTCTCCCACTAATATTTCTACGGTTTTTCTTCTCTTTTACGGTCCAACACCATAATTCATACATATTTGTTTTTCACGCGAGACTTAGCCTAGATACTTTCTTGAGTAGGCCGGGGAACCAGATTATTTTCGATTTCGACTGGCCTAAATCCTTTGGGCCGTCGTCAACGAATTTCAGCGATAACAGATTGGCACACCCAGTGGGACTCTAGCGAGTCTCGCATTTTTTATGCAACTGAGGAGTCTCAAATTACCATCTCCGAAGAAAGTTACGATGTCAAAGGAAAAGGAAATCGTCTGTAAAACTTTAGCCACACGCATCTCCGGAGAGTTCACACGTGATGAATCGTCCGAAGATTAGGGAGGCGTGGATAGGATGATTATGATCCCCTACGAGCGTTCTGCAAGATCAGATTTTTGGGGAAATTTGATCTGCCCTCCATGACTCAGCGTTGACTTTCTCTCGGTACTTTTCCGAAATTTTCAAGCCCACCATCCGAAATGAAATTACGTGAGCAAGAGAGGAGAAGCTGCGCAAGGTAAAAACACCAATGACCAGCCCGGGAGATGATGAAAATTCTCCTCCAACAAAGGCAGCACAAGGGGCACGTCTGAACATTCCCCAACGGCACTCTAGTATGGTAATGTAACCATACTGAGCAAAAGAAACGAAAGCAATAACCCCCCCACCCCGGATGAGACAGTGGCTGAAGGACCTTGGCGGTCCTCGGGCAGGCCGCCGCCATATCATGGACGTTCAGGGGCAGTGGGTACGCACCATCAGCGTCCCAATGGCACAACAATCCCTTGTTTGGTGGCGTAAGCGTGCCAACATCACCTACGGAGGTGAACGGTCAAGGAAACATTCCTGTCAGAGGAGGAGCTATTCATCCTTAGGGGGCATGGCCGACCATGGTTTCAACACCTTTGGTCGCCCATCAACTTCGGGGATCACTTGGGGGGCATTTGCACCACCTTTGAGTATACTTTGGGGGCAGCCCCACCTCTTTCGGGACCCTGCAGATCAGCCCTTTCGGCTGTCGCAGTGGCGTTGGGATCAAATGTACCGACTTCATCAGCGCAGCCTCCACATGGGGGGCAAGTAACATACCATGAGATAAATTCTCCTGAGGCCTCCGGGCAGCTCTAGGATTACGGATGTCTAAATCAAGGAATTTCGGTACCATTCGGAAATTTTCCGGCTTCGACGGCGCCACAGATGACTTGAGGGGCATCCGCCCCACCTTCGAATTTGTGGGAGACAACTTCTGCTCCTCTAGGTCCATGGGGCTCAGCTCCATCGGCTGTAGCAGTTGTTTGGGGCTCATTTACACTAGCTCCGGCCGTGCCGCCTCCACATAAGAGGCAGACAGCATACCTAGAAGCTTCCCCAACTGGACCAGCCGCACAACAGGGGTACAAACCTCCATAACAGGGTCTCCTGGTCCAGTTTGGAAACTTTGTTCCTCCGTCGGCAGCACCTCCGTACATACCAGTTGAGGGGAATCGAGTACCTCCAACTCCGGGTGCACTTCCGGCTCCAAACACTGCCCAGAGGACATTCTCGCCACCTCCGAAAGCACCACCAGCTCAACGGATGACTCGAGAGGCACCTCTGGCAATACAACCAGCGCCAACGGCGCCAAAGATGACCTGAGAGGCGCATCCAATGGCACTACCAGCTCTAGACATTGCCCGGAGGACAGCCCCATCACCTCCAAGAGTATTTCAAGCTCCAGATACTGCCCGGAGAACAGCCCGCCACCTTTGGTAGCACTTCCCGCTTCGGACATTACCCAAATAACAGTCTTGCTACCTCAAGATTCACTTCCAGCTCCGGACATTACCCGGATGACTGCTCTGCCACCTCCGGAAGTGCATCCATCTCTGAAAATTACCCAAAAGGCAGCCTCGGCGAGGCCACCACCACCGAGGGTGGCAAGGGATATAGATCCGCCACCTCGGCTACCTCTGCAAGCATCATCAGCACTGGGAGGGACATGGAAATACTCGTCGGCTCTGAGAGGGTCAACTCTGTCAAATCCAAATAGAATAGCTCAACATCCGAGCAGACCAGCACCCGTGCAGCCTGGAGGACACGCAAAAATATCTTCACCGTCTCAGCCGATTATCGATCCGTAGGCGATTGCAGAGGTAATCCGAAGAGTATACGGTGACCCTGTTCGGCTGCCCGCAAGACCGTACTATCAACGGCCATTCTCATATCAGATCACCATCAACCATTCTCTCCCCCGAAATGCTCAGACCCCGGAGTTCATGCTTTTTTCGGTGGAGGACTCGTGCTTAACGATTGAGCATGTTGATCGGTTTACGGGGTAGTGCAGAGAGGACTTCAGGGAAAAAGAGTGGTACAAGATCCAACTATTTTTGTTACATCGGACCGGCCTTCACATGCATAATAAGTCGGTAGAAAGTTTTTTTGGAAAGGTTTCGCAGGGCCGAAGGTTGATGTCAGGTGCACATACCCGAAAACCAAGTCGTTGACATGGAGGTTGACAATATGATGCATCAACTTCGTGAGAAACTGGCCCTTCAAATAGTATAACGTTTTCCGACAGCTTTTCGCAAAGGCGGTCAAGGCGGAACAACTTCTCCGGGCAGTCAGTGGCAAAGATCATTCACCGTATCCGAAGGAAAGCAATTTTGATGTCGATGAAGGATCTGATCGAACCCCTATGACCATCCAGCCATCTCATGCATCGGAGTACGCTCAATAAAACCTCGCGCATCAGTAGCAAAGGCCGACAGAAACCGAAGGAACTATAGCGACATATTTGCAAAAATCCATTTTTAGAAAAATAGAAAGACATGTAGGGTGGCCTCTGTGGACCGAGTGATGATAACCTTTCATCCTACACGGCATTACGAGTAGCCCTAAAGAGATGAGAGTCGGACATGCGATCAGAGGAAGAAGAAAACGAGAGCATAAAGACGGAGGAAA